TCAAAGTTGGTAAGCTGAGTAACGGGTATCTGATAGTCGAAGCACTCGATTATAACGTTTTTTTACCCGTTACTCGTACAGTAAAAGGGTATACTAGATTCGTCGGAAAGTATGTAACAGTTAGATGGAAGTGTTTCCGACCCCACAAAGTATATATATTCTTCATCAGGATCACTAGCCGAGTCGATCTAGCCATGTCCGTATAAACGCTGAGATCTGGGAAACTATAAAAGCTAGGCTATTGGGATTTGGCATACAGATTCCTGAGCTTCTTGTGCAGCGCAAGTTTGTTTCAGCAGGGTACCACGCCCACTTTAAAGCCCACACATTGCACAAAACTGTGGCTCCTGCAGTTATGATGCTAGAATAAAAATTTAAACTGAAATGTATTTTTACCCGTTACTCGTAGAGTAAAAGGGTATACTAGGTTCGTCGAAAAGTATGTAACCGGCAAAAGGTAGCGTTTCCGACCCCATAAAGTATATATATTCTTGATCATTATCACTAGCCGAGTCGATCTAGCCATGTCCGTCTGTCCGTCTGTCTGTCCGTCCGGATGAACGCTGAGATCTCAGAAACTATGGGAGCTAGGCTATCGAGATATGGCGTGCAGATTCCTGAGCTTCTTACGCAGCGCAATTTTGTTTCAGAAGAGTGCCCACTCTAACGCCCACAAACTGCCCAAAACTGTGGCTCCTACAGTTTTGATGCTAGAATAAAAATTTTAACTGAAATGTATTGTTCTCATCAATACCTATCGATTGATCCAAAAAAAGTTTGCCACGCCCTCTTTAACGCACACAAACCGCCCAAACCTGTGGCGCCCACAATTTTCATGCTAGATAAAAAATTTTAACTGAAATGTATTGGTCTCGTCAATACCTATCGACTTATCCAAAAAAAATTGCCACGCCCACTCTAACGCCCATAACGCTTAAATCTGTTTACCGCCGGTAGGTGGCGCATTTTAATCTCGCTTTGCTGCTTGCATATCTCCATTTAGCTGAGTAAAGGGTATCTGATAGTCGAGGTACTCGACTATAGCGTTGTTCCTTGTTTTTGTTATAATTTCGCTGCCTGACCACGGTTAATGAACCAAAAATCAAAAATTTAAATATAACAGGAGCAACCTAATTACTCATCAGACAGATCAGATAATTTCACTTAATTCAGCTTCGAACCTCACTTAGAATTTCACTCAAGCGCTTCGGAAACGAAGAGACAGTGTCCAAAGAGATGAGTCATTCGTCCACGCTTGACCAAAAATTTTAAGAAGAGGAAGAAAAGCCCAACTATTATACCCTTTCATTTTAACTCTATAGGTTTGGTCATTAAACGCATAGGAACTCCAGGTTTTGTGATTTTTGTTATAATTTCGCTGCCTGACCACAATTAATGAACCAAAATTTAAAAATTTAAATATAACAGGAGTAACCTAATTACTCATCAGACAGATCAGCTTGCCATAATTCGCATTGGATATGCAATGGATTTTATTTACATAAAGATTCACTGACCACGATGAAAGGCATAGCTAACATGCTCCGCAATTGTAAAGCGCGAAGCAGGCGGCTCGGATTATAGGCATTGTCGCGAAGGTCGTACGATTGGCTAGCCGCTGTCTGCAAGTGGTGCATGCAATTGCATTTAATTTTTTTTCTCTATGCACTTTTCTTATCTCTGTTAGGTTTGTCAGAGGGGGAATATTTATGTCCGATGTTAAATTAATTTATGATATTTATGTCTTTTGCTTCTTTTGTTTACGAATTTATTTGATTTTTATTTATTCAAATTTATGTTTGTTCATATTTTTGCTGTCAATCAATATTTGACTTTTACTGTGTATTCGAGCAGTTCTGACAGCTCGATTGATCAGCGGAGGTCATCGACCTCGCAAACGAAACACTCGTTTTATGAATTTTGTTCGCTTTACCTAGCTAGTTTCAAACTTAGAGATAAGTTTTAACATTAGTACATTTTTTTTATAGCTTATACATTTTTTTTAGTTTTAGACTAGGATTTTTATACCCGTTACTCGTACAGTAAAAGGGTATACTAGATTCGTCGGAAAGTATGTAACAGGCAGAAGGAAGCGTTTTCGACCTCAGATAAATGGCCAGTATATATACTCTTGATCAGGATCACTAGCCGAGTCGATCTAGCCATGTCCGTCGGTCCGTCCTTCCGGATGAACGCTGAGATCTCGGAAACTATAAGAGCTAGGCTACTGTTATGGCATGCAGATTCCTGAGCTTCTTACGCAGCGCAAGTTTGTTTCAGCAACGTGCTACGCCCACTCTAACGCCCATAACGCTTAAATCTGTCTATCGCCCACATAACCATATATTGAGATCAGGGGTAGGTGGCGCATTTCCCTTTTGTCCCTTTAGCTGAGTAACGGGTATCTGATAGTCGAGGTACTCGACTATAGCGTTCTTCCTTGTTTTTAAATAAAAAAATTATAATGTTCTAATTCCTCGAATATTTGACTCGGCATAATATGATACCCTAACACCCCTAAACACCAAAGGACCGTTTGATTAAATATGATTTTGGTTGGCAACAGAACGGTCAAAGGAAGGGAGGGCGATATAAATCTATATCAACATCCGAGATTTTCAGGTGTTCAAAGATTAGGTAAAGTGCACTAGATCCACTAGTTTTAAATTCTGTACAATTTCAGTAATGTCTGGCTAAAATGTGTAGCATTTTGTCCCCTTTTTTGCTTGTCCTTTCACGCGATTATTTTAGAATTAGTAATGAAAATAGGCTATACGAAAGAAGTAGCAACTACCTTCACCTTTAGTCGACGAGCCAAGCCGGAGAACAATGCGCGTGAGCCCTTCTTCAGAAAATATCTTGGCCTGAATAGTTGTGAATGTTCGTTACATTTATAATTATATTCTAATTATCATTATTATTCTATGGCGCCCAACGTACCCAGTAACTTAATTTTCTTTTAATGCATTTATAACTGTAAAGAAAATGACACAAACGCATGGCCACTACATAATAAAATTGGATTAAAACAAGGAAGAACGCTATAGTCGAGTACCTCGACTATCAGATACCCGTTACTCAGCTAAAGGAACCAAAGGGAAATGGAGATAGTCAAGCAGCAAAGCGAGACTGAAATGCGCCACTTACCGGCGGTAGACAGACTTAAGCGTTATGGGCGTTAGAGTGGGCGTGGATCAATCGATAGGTATTGACGAGACCAATAAGTTTCAGTTAAAATTTTTTATCTAGCACGAAGATTGTGGGCGCCACAGGCTTGGGCGGTTTCTGGGCGTTAGAGTGGGCGTATTCGCGTAACAAACATGCGCTGCGTGCAAGACTACGGAATCTAAGTCTGAGATCTCAATTCTCTGTATTTGATAGTTTCCGAGATATCCACGTTCATACGAGTATTTACGATTTTTTGAGGTTTGTGGGCGTTTAAGTGGGCGTGGCAAACGTTTTTTGGGTCAATCGATAGGTATTGACGAAACCAATACATTTCAGTTAAACTTTTTATTCTAGCATCAAATTTTTACTCTACGAGTAACGGGTATAAGTACTGGTAATGCATGGGGACAGCTTAAACGATATACATCGGTATAAATCAAAACGTAGTAAAATAAATATAAAAGGAGAACGATATAAAGATATAATATATAGATAAAATTGGTATAAAAATATTGGATATAAATATGGTTTATATAAAAGTTAAATATAAATGCGGGCTCTTATGCGATGAGTTTGGATTCAAATAAATAAAATAATGAAATTAGAAACGACAAAACTTATAATTTTTTCTAGAACTAATGCAAAGGCGAATCAGATTTCTTTGGCAAAAATATGTGACACATGGCCACAAAACTTGAGCAGCAAAAAAACCACAAATAAATTTCTTTATATTTTCTTCGTTTATCTAAATAACTTTCTGCCACTTTTTTTTTTTGATTAACTTTAAACTTTTAGTTCATGACTTGATTTATCAGTTACGCTAACATTAAAATAGTTATGGGTTCTTAAAAGCGCATTCGTTTTTTCTTTATTTTTAATTTGGGATCTTTTCTTTATTATAGCATCACATATAGATGTATTAGGAACTCTTGTTCGCTCACTGAATTACTGCTGGAGTCCTCCTCGAAGAAAGAGCTTTCCTGAGACAGACCTGGAAATTTAGATAATATGTTTTTCTCTTTGGCACCAACGTACCCAGTAATTTACTTTTCTTTTAGTGCATTTAAAGGGGTAACAAAATGACACAAAAAAATGCGATCGAGTCTCCGGGCAGAAATCACAAAATCACTCAAAATTTTAAACCACTCAATTTGGCCTCTGCATTTCCATCATCACTTTCGCTCGTTAATTTGTTTTTATTTTTATTTTTTCAAAGCATGGCATTGCAAGACTTCGGCGTTTTGGTGCGTTTTTCGATTTTTCTTTCGCCAATATGCGCTCAATTATTATGCTATTGATTTTAGGTCGCAACTTAAGCGCTAAATTTTAGTCCACCAAACCCTATGCTTTAAAAACTTACCAGCTAGGACTTAGCACTGCGGTGGATATTTAAAACTGTAATAAAATGAATTTTAAGCTAAATTTTATTCCACCAAACCCTACGCCTTAAAAACATAGTACACCGCTGGATATTTAAAACTGTTTTTCGTTTCGCTGAGTTGACGGGGATAACTTTTGCACAAAAATTAAATTTTGAAAATATGTTTTCATCCAGCACAACTTACACCTTTGACGCCACGATTAGAACAGAATAATTTAGACGCCAAAAATGTGGCAGCAACCCATAGCCAAGTAGGTGATATAGAGAAGGGGAAAGGTCTGTTGCTCTCCTTTCCGCTTTTCCTTTGTCACATCCCGCACCGCAGAGCGACACCTAGATGGCGCTAACCATATTTTACATCTGGTTAACTACAAGCGCTACTGTGTAGGTACTCAACCCTTCCCACACACACGCAACAATAAACAAACCGAAGTTTGTATCTCACAACACACCTCGCTGCAACAACGGCCTTGCAGCTGGCCAAAACATTGAAGAAATGTAATTAGCTGTAATACCCACAAACATTTGAACACACCGAAACTAACCCACTCTTATACTCTTCCCAGGTCCCAGGATGCCATCGGTTATGTTGTGGGCTTCGAGGGGTGAAACCGAAACCTCAGCGCTCCCTCCCATCCTAAGCAGCCGTAGACGATCATCGACATCTTTACCTCCCCTATTACTATTTATTAATTACAGCTATTAACAGGTTAATTTTGCTCCCAGGAAGGGGACTCATAACGCCCGATATAAATTGGATTTTAGGATGTCTGCTTCTTTCGGTCCCTACCTAGGAGTTCTCTCTTCAGCCGATCCAAATCTCCGTGGGATTCACAAGTATCAGCAATACAATTGCGATTATGTTCGCATTATTCTATTGTTCTTGTTTCATATAACGATCATACAAAAATGAATAAAATAAGGATGAGAAATCGATCGCAGTGAATTCAGGTCCTTGCGACAATAAATACGTATTACAAATATAATTCAAGTGAATAGATAAATATGGTGTAATTAATACAATAAATATGTTATTTCTATAAGTGATTAATTTCCTCAACAAATATAATGTTCGAATAAATAAATAAATGGACGACACAACATAAAAACAAATACTAAAAAAGAAAACCGTATTCCACTCTGGGCGGCCAATCTCATCCAGCTCCCTGGTGACGTAACTCCCCCAAGTGGTACTGCGATCGACCGGGTCAAGTCCGCCAAACTCCGGACAAGATCACAATTCTTTTTCTGATTACTCCTTTTCCACGCAGATATTATTTCTTGGCCGGGATGATCTCAGTTAAAATTTTTATCTAGCATCAATCATTAGCTTCGCTCTTTCAGTGAACGGTCGTGTTTTTGTCTTGCGCTCCGAATTTTTGTTCCTTTTGTCCATAAACCATCGGGCTTAAATTCATATTTTCATACATCTGTATAACTTTTTATGTCCCTAACAACATCCGTTCGCTTCGCGAGTGCGTAGTGATTGTTTTGTGTTTAAATTAACAAAATTAGTTTGCACGTCTAGTCTCTGTGCAGTGTTTGTTGTTATTGTTTTTTCAAATTGCCTTCTTCTTTTCTTTCTCTCCGGCACTGCCGCATAAAACTTGGTTTTTGGAACATCAAAAACTTACGCTCCCCCAGCTTACTCACTCCCGCTCATTCTCTCCCGCTCGCTAACTCTCTCTTGTACTTGTGAAGCTTCATTCTCTTGTCACTGCGGTTCGGAATATCGCGATAATGGCTGTCTGCAATTTAAAGAAATGCAAGTCGTTAATTTCGGCTGGACAACAGAGCATTTCGTGCCATTCGGGCCTGGTACGCGATACAATCGACATGAGAAGTGGCTTACGCTACTGCATTGAATGCATTGTTTATAAAACCCAGGTACTCTCTATAAGGCGGCTTACAAAAAGCACTGTTACGGAATTAATCCGGAACAGCCGTAGAAATACGGATCTGCTTGTGGCGCTTGAGTCGCAGCTCACTAGCCGTATGCTATCTGAGCCCGATTTCCCTAAGCGTAAAAAGATCGCGGACCACGGTAGCCGCTAGTGTAACTCTCTCTGGCGATCCGGGGTCTGCAGCACAGCAGTCGATCTCAGCCGCCGCACAAATGGTATTGAGATCGAAAGCTAAAAAAGATTCGCCCGAGAAATCTGTTATAAATAAAACAATAATAATTCCAAAGCCGCATGTTGACTTAACGTCCGGAGTACCGAATTAAACTAGTAGTGCAGCCGTAAATGCCGTCGTACCAAAACCTGTCCCATGCGTGGACATGTAGTGCGGGTCTTGGAATAGCTTGCAATTCAGGATTGATGAAACTCAGGCTTACATTTAGTTTTATATGTTTTGGCGGAGTCTAAATAGCATTCGCACAGCGAACACTGGCGGGTTTCCGCGCCTTCGGCATCATCCATATTGTATATAAAAACAAGGAAGAACGCTATAGTCGAGTACCTCGACTATCAGATACCCGTTACTCAGCTAAAGGGACAAAAGGGAAATGCGCCACCTACCCCTGATCTCAATATATGGTTATGTGGGCGATAGACAGATTTAAGCGTTATGGGCGTTAGAGTGGGCGTAGCACGCTGCTGAAACAAACTTGCGCTGCGTAAGAAGCTCAGGAATCTGCATGCCATAACAGTAGCCTAGCTCTTATAGTTTCCGAGATCTCAGCGTTCATCCGGAAGGACGGACCGACGGACATGGCTAGATCGACTCGGCTAGTGATCCTGATCAAGAGAGGTCGAAAACGCTTCCTTCTGCCTGTTACATACTTTCCGACGAATCTAGTATACCCTTTTACTGTACGAGTAACGGGTATAAAAATCCTAGTCTAAAACTAAAAAAAAATGTATAAGCTATACAAAAAATGTACTAATGTTAAAACTTATCTCTAAGTTTAAAACTAGCTAGGTAAAGCGAATAAAATTCATAAAACGAGTGTTTCGTTTGCAAGGTCGATGACCTCCGCTGATCAATCAGCTGTCCAACTCTCTGTCCAGAATTACTCAAGAACTGCTCGAATACACAGTAAAAGTCAAATATTGATTGACAGCAAAAATATGAACAAACATAAATTTGAATAAATAAAAATCAAATAAATTCGTAAACAAAAGAAGCAAAAGACATAAATATCATAAATTAATTTAACATCGGACATAAATATTCCCCCTCTGACAAACCTAACAGAGATAAGAAAAGTGCATAGAGAAAAAAAATTAAATGCAATTGCATGCACCACTTGCAGACAGCGGCTTGCCAATCGTACGACCTTCGCGACAATGCCTATAATCCGAGCCGCCTGCTTCGCGCTTTACAATTGCGGAGCATGTTAGCTATGCCTTTCATCGTGGTCAGTGAATCTTTATGTAAATAAAATCCATTGCATATCCAATGCGAATTATGGCAAGCTGATCTGTCTGATGAGTAATTAGGTTACTCCTGTTATATTTAAATTTTTAAATTTTGGTTCATTAATTGTGGTCAGGCAGCGAAATTATAACAAAAATCACAAAACCTGGAGTTCCTATGCGTTTAATGACCATAGATAGAGTTAAAATGAAAGGGTATAATAGTTGGGCTTTTCTTCCTCTTCTTAAAATTTTTGGTCAAGCGTGGACGAATGACTCATCTCTTTGGACACTGTCTCTTCGTTTCCGAAGCGCTTGAGTGAAATTCTAAGTGAGGCTCGAAGCTGGATTAAGTGAAATTATCTGATCTGTCTGATGAGTAATTAGGTTGCTCCTGTTATATTTAAATTTTTGATTTTTGGTTCATTAACCGTGGTCAGGCAGCGAAATTATAACAAAAACAAGGAAGAACGCTATAGTCGAGTACCTCGACTATCAGATACCCTTTACTCAGCTAAATGGAGATATGCAAGCAGCAAAGCGAGATTAAAATGCGCCACCTACCGGCGGTAAACAGATTTAAGCGTTATGGGCGTTAGAGTGGGCGTGGCAATTTTTTTTGGATAAGTCGATAGGTATTGACGAGACCAATACATTTCAGTTAAAATTTTTTATCTAGCATGAAAATTGTGGGCGTCACAGGTTTGGGCGGTTTGTGTGCGTTAAAGAGGGCGTGGCAAACTTTTTTTGGATCAATCGATAGGTATTGATGAGAACAATACATTTCAGTTAAAATTTTTATTCTAGCATCAAAACTGTAGGAGCCACAGTTTTGGGCAGTTTGTGGGCGTTAGAGTGGGCACTCTTCTGAAACAAACTTGCGCTGCGTAAGAAGCTCAGGAATCGCACGCCATATCTCGATAGCCTAGCTCCCATAGTTTCTGAGATCTCAGCGTTCATCCGGACGGACAGACAGACGGACAGACGGACATGGCTAGATCGACTCGGCTAGTGATAATGATCAAGAATATATATACTTTATGGGGTCGGAAACGCTTCCTTCTGCCGGTTACATACTTTTCGACGAACCTAGTATACCCTTTTACTCTACGAGTAACGGGTAAAAATACATTTCAGTTTAAATTTTTATTCTAGCATCATAACTGCAGGAGCCACAGTTTTGTGCAATGTGTGGGCTTTAAAGTGGGCGTGGTACCCTGCTGAAACAAACTTGTGCTGCACAAGAAGCTCAGGAATCTGTATGCCAAATCCCAATAGCCTAGCTTTTATAGTTTCCCAGATCTCAGCGTTTATACGGACATGGCTAGATCGACTCGGCTAGTGATCCTGATGAAGAATATATATACTTTGTGGGGTCGGAAACACTTCCATCTGCCTGTTACATACTTTCCGACGAATCTAGTATACCCTTTTACTGTACGAGTAACGGGTAAAAAAACGTTATAATCGAGTGCTTCGACTATCAGATACCCGTTACTCAGCTAACCAACTTTGAACTGTTGACCAATTTCTAACTACAATTTTACATTTAATATTTATTTTTTGTTTATTTATACATATTTGCTTTCAATTGTGTTATTTAGGCTTTCCATTAACGTACAATTATTTTTTAAGGGCCTTGTTTTTTCTTGGTTAATTTATTTTTAACCTTCGACGCATTTTTACTTGTATATTTGAATTTACATTTAAGAGCTGTGTATAGCCCCTTGCGGGATGTTTATTGACACAAAACATTTTATCCAGCCATTTAACTTTATTATTTTCAAACAAGGAAGAACGCTATAGTCGAGTACCTCGACTATCAGATACCCGTTACTAAGCTAAATAGAGATATGCAAGTAGCAAAGCGAGATTAAAATGCGCCACCTACCGGCGGTATACAGATTTAAGCGTTATGGGCGTTAGAGTGGGCGTGGCAAATTTTTTTTTGGACCAATCGATAGGTATTGACGAGACCAATACATTTCAGTTAAACTTTTTATTCTAGCATCAAATTTTTACTCTACGAGTAACGGGTATAAGTACTGGTAATGCATGGGGACAGCTTAAACGATATACATCGGTATAAATCAAAACGTAGTAAAATAAATATAAAAGGAGAACGATATAAAGATATAATATATAGATAAAATTGGTATAAAAATATTGGATATAAATATGGTTTATATAAAAGTTAAATATAAATGCGGGCTCTTATGCGATGAGTTTGGATTCAAATAAATAAAATAATGAAATTAGAAACGACAAAACTTATAATTTTTTCTAGAACTAATGCAAAGGCGAATCAGATTTCTTTGGCAAAAATATGTGACACATGGCCACAAAACTTGAGCAGCAAAAAAACCACAAATAAATTTCTTTATATTTTCTTCGTTTATCTAAATAACTTTCTGCCACTTTTTTTTTTTGATTAACTTTAAACTTTTATTTCATGACTTGGTTTATCAGTTACGCTAACATTAAAATAGTTATGGGTTCTTAAAATCGCATTCGTTTTTTCTTTATTTTTAATTTGGGATCTTTTCTTTATTATAGCATCACATATAGATGTATTAGGAACTCTTGTTCGCTCACTGAATTACTGCTGGAGTCCTCCTCGAAGAAAGAGCTTTCCTGAGACAGACCTGGAAATTTAGATAATATGTTTTTCTCTTTGGC